GAATTTCCATGCAGTCTAAATTTTCCCAGTTACCTTCAATTTTATTAATTAATTGTCTGTTCCTTCATCTGCACTCTGAACTTGAAAAGGTCAATGTTTTAAAATTGTTGGAAAAAAAAATTGTTGGCCAATGTTAACAGAGATTCCCCTCTCCTTACCAGGTCTTAAAATGATTCTTTTTCTAAGGTACTGCATGATGGATTCAGGTATCTTCCCTAGGTGTCTTCATTTCCTACTCTTTTGTTCAGCATTCCTGCAATCAAGGTTTGTCAAGCAACTGCATGGTGGCAGACACTGTGCTAGGGCACAGCTATGCATGAGATACAAAGCTCTCTCCCCTTGTAAGCTTGCATTCTAGTTGGGAGGACAGGCAATAAACACTGAGGGAAATATACAGTGTGTCAGGTGGCATTCACTGCTAAGAAGTTTGTATCAGGAGTACTGGGCGGGGGGTTCATTTTTTAATAGAGTGGACAGAGAAGGCTTTACTGAACAGGTGAGGTTTGAGTCAAGACTCCATAATCAGATAGGCTCCATAATCAGATCCCTACTGATGGATCTTCCTTTCCTTGGATTACTTCCAACATCTAATAACACCACTCCATCTAGTCACCAACCCTTCCCTGTAAATCAACCTGCCTCCCTCTTTTATATCTGAGATGATGGGAAAGAATAACATCTAATCACAGCTTTTCTCTCCACATTTGGGGCTCTAAGAAGTGGCCTTCAATCTATTTTTCTCATGGCAAATTACAAAGTAGGAAGCCTGCAAAAACTCTCCTGATATGGAGCAAAGTAAATATCGCATGCTCACTTTCCTTTATGTTTAACATAAATTAACTCTGGGGAATGGAACAGCCTGACCCTTGCAAAATCCAGTTAATTTAGTGAGCATTTGACAAGTCCATCGTTCTCCTCGAAGAATGGGTTCTTACATGGCCAATGGCTTAGAAAGGTTTCATCCAAGAATCCTCTGGGCATACGAGGACTGTCTTGTCTCATTTATCTCTGCCTTCCCAGCACTGTGCTTGGTATAAGTGAGGAATGAATGAATGACTGGGGTAAGAACTAATGATGCTTGAAACCCAACTACTACCAGTATCATCCAATTCTGTAGTCCCGTCTACCTGAGTGTACCAAGTGCTGCCTAATCCTGCATCCCACTGGAGTGGGCAGCTATCAGCATCACCCAACTTTTCATTGCTGCCCACCTGAGTGGAGCAAGTACCCCTGCATAATGTCAGAGTAGGTGCTGCTCCTTCAGTCCATCTCTCCTGCTGGCCAGGTCTTGGGACTGTAAAGAACTCCAGTTAGTTCCTTGTTCTATCCTCTCCTTGTGGAGAAACACCAAAAAAATATCCTATTTATCCCACATTGAGAAGAAAAAAAGGGTCATAGTCATTCTGAATAAGCTTTAGTACTAGATATATTATTTTTATAGAGGGTTTAGAGATAACTTCATATAGGCCAGAAAGACATGGGTATGAGTATTACTGGGCAAAGTATTATAACAAAATGAAGCAGTTGGATCAAAACTTCCCATATTTTACAAGTAGATCTAGAAATAGAAAGGATCAGGGGTCTGTTAGTCTAAATACCTGTTTACAAATGGAAAAACTAAAACCTGGAGAAGTCAACAACTTTTAATTCTGACAATGATAATCTGTTAATGGTTTCAAAATGATAATATGACTGTGTCTAGTCATTCTCTAGAAGGACTTATAGAACTGAGCAAGCTGTTATACTCATGGTTACAGTTTACTGCAGCAAAAAGATACAGACTAAAATCAGCAATGGAAAAAGGTACAAAGACAGCGTCCTGGAGACACCAGACACAAGGTTCCAGTTGTCCTTTCTCAGTGGAGTCATGCACACAGTATTTAATTCTCCCAGCAATGATGTATGACAACACATATGGAGTGTCGCTAACCAGAAGCTCACCAGAGCCTTTGTGTCCAGGGTTTTTATTGGGGGTTGTTCATATAGGTATGTCTGACTGCTCACACAGCTGATCAAAGTCTCCAGACCTAGCAGAAATCAAAATAATGCCATGTGCCCCAAGGCCCCCAGCATAAACCACATTGCAAGTATGAACTATCTGGCTGGCCCAAGGCCTCCAGGTAAAGAAAGACAATCTATCAGGTAGATATTTCATGATCTTAGAGGTTATCTCCAAAGAGCTGGGCAACAGTCAAACCTTTCTTCATAAGGTACAGGTTTTAGACAACCCATGCTTGCCTAGTTAACCCTTTACTATATAATGACCTACAATGTTTCTTTTATGCCATGGGAAACGGGTTTTGTATTTTATTTTGTTTTTCTAGAAAAGCAATACTGAAAACCATTGAGGTAATATCTATCTTCTCCTTCCTTATACACAAACAATTACTTCTTTGTGTCCACCTGTTGGCCACGTTTTGCCAAATAGCATGAAGGAAGCTTATTTTTGTATCAGAAGTAATTCATATCTCAGTGGGATTTGGAGGGCATTATGAAAAAGAAGTGGCCCCAACGAATGGCCTACCTGTCTCCATGCCCTCTGCAACATGGCTTTGCAGGTTTTCTTATCAGAAGTGCAGTCTATTTTCGTGCCTATTAAATTGAGGCTTGCTTTGTGACTTGCCTTGGCCACAGTCTTAAAGGATCTCCCCCAATATATTTATTAAGTTCAAAAAGAAACACAGTAACTTCACAGTGCAGAAACCACACAGACACCACCTAAACTAAGTGATCAAGGTTAACATCACCAGTAATAAGATATATCAACATCTTATATTGCTGATATGCTATATGAGAAGGGCACATTGTGTCTTTGGTATTTTTGCCAAAAACACATGACTTTAATCTCATGAGAAAATATCAGACAACTAAAATTGAGGAACATTCTATAAAGTAACTGACTAGTACTCAAACTATCAAGGTCAGAAAGACAAAGAAAGACTGAGAAATTGTCATAGGTTGCAGGAGACAAAGGAAACAAAACAACTAAATACAGTGTGGGATGTTGAATTAGATCCTGGATCAAACAAACAAATAAATACCCACCCACCCACCCCAAACAAGAAGACGTCAGTGGAAAAATAGGTGAAATCCAATTTGTAGTTTACTATCATACCAATTATCTAACTGTACCAGTTAGTACTTTACCAATTCTTAGTATTGATCATTGTACTATTGTTATCTATGACCTAAACATTAATGAAAACTAGGGGAAAGGTAATAGGAATTTGCTCTACCATTTTCGTAATTTTCTGTGCGTAGAATTATTTCAAAATAAGAACTTAAAAATAATCTGGATACTCACCCTTTATCATATTAAAAAAGAAATCTTCCTCTTCTGGCACTATGGTTGACCACATGCATCTCCAAGCTGGTGCGTTAGCTGCACCTTCCAAAGACCATGCCTTCTGTCTCTCTTCAGGTCGGCGGCTCTGGATGGTGAGGTATACATTAGGATTAGTGAATCTCATGATCATTTGCCCACTACTGCACCTCCTTTTTTAAAAAGTGAGTCGTTTTGGTCTGAGGTAATGTTATGTGCTGTACCGTGTTGGTGGATAAAATACGGTGAGCTTTCAGACAGTGGTGCTGGCAGAGGCCATGCAAGCAGGAGAGGCAAACCTATCCCCATAATATGTGTTGTGTTGATTTCAGTCAATATAAATTGCTTCCCTTCCTGAGTGGAATGTAATCAGCTTGTTACCAGGCAGCTGGCTGGTACCATGTCGGGGATTCAGTGTTACAGTAGGGTAGATCCATAGCAGTGGCAGTAGTTAGATCAGCCTTAGTGAGGGGGCCCAGGCTGGTGGGCTCATGATTAGCTTCTGTCCCTACCACCATTGTGCCTGCATTGGGGTGGTCCTTGGCAGAGGTTGGCTGATGACAACTGGCTGAAACCTGCTATCTACTTTGTTTAGTCTTGTCCATGGTAGATGCTCTGCAGTGGGTGTTAACATGTGATTCATGCGATAGAAAGATCTCACTTTGTACCTACTCCGATATAGCTCCAACTACATGCCTCTTCCCAAACAACCTTGACCCTCATTTGCCAATCTTTTTCCTAGTAGGCCCCTGACCAATCAGCCAAGCCACTCACCATTGCCATGGGCACATATATATTCTTCTGTTCAGCCACTTTTCTTTCTACAAAAGGGGATGACCGGGCACATGATCTGGAGCGCTGCCAACTGGGAGGATTTCAGGATTACCCTGAAATGCATTGCCAGCTGAACAACACATTGACAGTGGAAATGTGAACTCATTCCAACGTAATTGGGCAGAAGAACCTAAGTAGATATTTGTATTCCTGATTCGATTGGGAAGAAAAACAAAGCTAGGAATAGCTTCATCTCAATAATGTTAGCAACATGCTCCTTCCAATTTGCTGTGGGAGAAAAGCCAAGCTAGAAACAGCAAGACCAGCAGCCACATCACTCCAGGATGGTCCTGGGATCTGCCCGGTGGGAGAGTGGAGATTAAAGGGAGGCAACATTTTTTTCCTTTACTTATTTGATGAACTGCTGCTCATCCTTAGCTTTCCTTTTCCAGAAAGGTTCCCTGGCTTGCCTCACTGCCCTGCTCCATCCCATCCCCTGCACTTTTCAGCCTCACAGCCCTGGTTGCAGCCTCCTCTGGGACAGGAGCTGAAACTTGCAGGGTGGGAAAGACAAGGGTGCGTTCCAAGCTAGGGGAATACAGGAGTGGAAAGCGGAGCTGGAGCTAGAGGCCAAAGAGGAGATTGGAAGGAAGCGGGGTGGATGGAGCGGTCAGCAGGAACTGGCAGGACCTTTATGGCCCTGGCAAGGAGTCCGCCTTTGTTTGAAAAACCAAGGGAAGCTCTGCTATTCTGTTTCCCTTTGTGGTAAGTAAGCCTCAACTTTTCTTTAGAAGTGCTGGCCCTGGCAGGCGTACCTGATTCAGCAAAGTCTGGCAGGGCCACCTTAAGTCGGGCCACCTTAAGCAGGCTCCACCCTCAGCACAGCCAATGGAGAGTGCAGCTACCCAGCTTAAGTGTCCACAGTCCTCCGGCTACTGCCCAGCTATGGCCAGTCTGCTCTGGGCTGCTGTAACGGGGAGACTGTTCCCTTGGAGGGGCTACTGCTCCAGGGGGACTCAGGTAGGCAGGGGAATCCCCCTGGAGGGCGGGCCGCCCCCCCCCCCATGCCAAGCTCTCACCAGGCTCTGTGCTACCCCAGCACCGTGTGACCCCAGCAGAGGATCACTGGGCTTACCCTGTGTCAAGTGTGGGCGTTGAGTAAGATGGACCGAAGACCCCACAGCTGTCATGAGTAGGGCAGAGGGGGTGTCAAATGGAAGGTGTGAGGGTCCTACGGTGCCCCTTGGGGGCTCCCAAATGTACACATTTTGAAAGAATGCCTGGGAGGCAAGGACCTGGGTTCTAGGCCAGGCTCTGTCCTTGACCTGCTGGCCTCCACTCCCCATCTGTAAAGTGGAAAGAAATCCCGAGAAGGGCTCCAAGAGCCCTACACGCCCCCAGCCATGGCGGAGCAGGGGGGGTGGGGGACGACACTGCGGTTGACAGGCAGTGGAGCTTTTTTTCTTCCTGTCCTTTTACCAAGCTGTGTCCCTGGTGTGCTTGGGGCACTCACTGCCTGGCTGGCCTTGGAAAAGGGACAGAGATGACTAAGCTTTCCAAGTCACTAAGGCAGGACTGGCTACTTTGTGGAACCCTGCTGACACCCCTTTTTGTAGAGTGAATCTGGTGCTTATTTTTATCCAGGTGGCAGTTTTTCTGAATTAAAACATTGACCCTGATGGTTGTGTTTGGATTTGCTTCTGGTGGGCCCACTGGCAAGGCCTGGCTCCTCTGGCCTTTGGGGGTGGTGTCAGTGGGGGTGAGGGGGAGGCCAGAGGTGCTGGCAGCTCCTCTCCCACTCCAGTGCCACCCCTCCCACCTGCCACAGGAGCAGTTCTGTGGCCCCAGGTGTCTGTGTGTGACCCTGACAATGTGTTTCTTCCCTGTAGGGCAAACTCAGCAAGGACTTTGTGGAGGCTCTGAAGGCAGTTGTGGGGAGTCCCCATGTGACTACTGCTGCTTCGGTCCTAGAGCAACACGGGCATGATGAGTCGATGCATAGGTATAGGGGGTCCCCTGCTCTGTCAGAGCTCCTGGCCAGGAGTGAGAGTTCTGGGCTGGCTTCTTCCCTGTTCATCTGTTTTGGGATGCTCTGGCATTCTCCCCTCCATACCCCTCTCCCATTGTGCAGCCTCAGGCCCTGCGATACCTCGGTGATCCTTGAAATGTGAGCAGGATCAGAGAGTCCCACGCCTCCCCTAAACGCTGAGGTCTCATTCTAGGTGCCAACCTCCAGACGTCGTGGTGTGGCCCCAGAATGTGGAGCATGTCAGCCAGCTGGCAGCCCTGTGCTATGGCCAAAATGTGCCCATCATCCCATTCGGTACAGGCACCGGGCTTGAGGGTGGAGTCTGTGCTGTGCAGGTATGGTGGCCCCTTCCTGGCCAGGCTCTGATTTCATCACACTTGTCACATTTGTGGTGCCCCCTCCACCACATCCACCTCGATCGCCCAAGTCCAATTCTCCTTACCTGCCGTCCTGGAGCTCTGGTCTGGCTCCTAGGAGGTCAGCTTCAAGGTGGAGTCCTGGGGGCTGCGACCTGGCGGGTGACCTGGGTCAGCTGGCCCCTTGGCACCCCTCCTGCCAGGGTGGTGTCTGCATCAATCTGACACATATGGACCGAATCCTGGAGCTGAATCCAGAAGACTTCTCTGTGGTGGTGGAACCTGGCGTCACCCGCAAAGCACTCAACACCCACTTGCGGGGCAGTGGCCTCTGGTTTCCTGTAGGTAAGCTGGGACTTGAGGCCCTTCCCTGGAGCCTTCAGGGCTCCTAGGGGCAGGGCTGTTTCTGGGGCTTGAGGGCACCCCTCTGTATCTGGGCACCTGCCTCACGCTGCCTTCTTTCTGCCTGCCCTCTGCTCTCCAGACCCAGGGGCGGACGCCTCTCTCTGTGGCATGGCGGCCACTGGGGCCTCAGGCACCAACACTGTGCGCTATGGTACCATGCGGGACAACGTGCTAAACCTGGAGGTGGTGCTGCCTGGTGGGCAACTACTTCACACCGCGGGCCGAGGCCGTCATTTCCGGTGAGCACCCTCTACCCACAGCGATGGGGGCCCTCCTGGATAGGTGGGCCAGGCTTCTAAAACTCGTCACGTACGATGAAGCTGATGGTACTGGAGTTTGTTCTTGCATGAGGGTAAGTTGGGCCGTGCCAGGGAACGTCTACCTTGATGGCAGTCTAAGCTGATGGGGACAGCCCAGACCTCAGGCTCAGCACCCCACCTGGCAGGAGCCTGGGCGACAGTGTCCAGCTTCCAGCTCCAGGCTTCTGGATAGAAATCCATCGTCACGTGGCCTGGGCACTCACCTACCTTGTGTGTCTCCGGGGCCCAGGAAGAGCGCAGCTGGCTACAACCTCACCGGGCTCTTTGTGGGCTCTGAGGGGACGCTGGGCCTCATCACAGCAGCTACCCTGCGCCTGCACCCTGTCCCTGAGGCCACGGTGGCTGCCACCTGTGCATTCCCCAGTGTCCAGGCGGCCGTGGACAGCACCATATGCATCCTCCAGGCTGCAGTGCCCGTGGCCCGCATCGGTGAGCTGGGGACTGGACAGTCCAGGTGGGCTCCCCAGAAGAGGCCCCCTTTGAAGACCAGGCCTTACCTCACCTGCCCTCTCCTTGGTCCTAGAGTTCCTGGATGATGTCACGATGGATGCCTGCAACAGGTACAGCAACCTGAACAGCTCCGTGGCACCCACACTCTTTCTTGAATTCCATGGCTCCAAGCAGGCGCTGGAAGAGCAGCTACAGCGGGCAGGTGTGCTGGGGTGCTATAGGGCGGAGGGCACAGGCTGCCCACAGTAGGGCCTGGTGTCAACCCCTCATCCCCCACAGAGGAGATCACCCAGTACCATGGAGCCTCCCACTTCTCCTGGGCCAAGGAGGCGGAGCAGCGCAGCAAGCTCTGGACCGCAAGGCACAACGTCTGGTACGCAATCCTGGCCTTGCGGCCGGGCTGCAAGGTGAGCCATGCTGGGGGGGCAGGGCCCATGGCTCAGCCCATGGACCCTTTTTGCTGAGCCCACTCACTACCCTGGTGTCCAGAGCAGCAGACTGAGGCCCACAGGGACAAGACTACCCCCACCCAGCTGTTTCTCAGACACTGTCTAGAGGGAAAGCGGTCATCTGCCAAAGCCTTAGGACGGAGCTCCCGCAGTGAGCCAGGCCTTGTGCCCAAGGACCCTGGAGCAGGCCCAGCACAGTGCTTTTAGCTGTTGTGAAGCAGATGGGAGGCTTCCTGGAGAGAGGGACAATGAAGTGGAAGGTGTTAGCCAACAGGAAGGGGAGGGGGAATGGGTTCCAGCAGCTCAAGCAACAGCTCAGTTGTGTGGGTGCCTGGGGACCAGTGAGTGTGAGGAGCGTGGGGAGAGCTGTGGAGCTGTGGAAGCCTCTGCTAGCAGTGCCTGGAGGACACGCCCCAGCCATCACCTTGTTGTACAGGAGACGCTGAGGCCTAGAGAAGAGCAGGCACGTTCATGGGTGTGAGGACAAACCCCCTCAGACCTGTTCTTAACCTTGACTACAGTTAGCCCTTCCTTACCTCTGAGCAGGCAGGGGGTGAAGGGAGAACTTCACAGGCCTGCCCCCTGTTCCAGGGCTATTCCACCGATGTCTGTGTGCCCATCTCCCGGCTGCCGGAGATCCTGGTGCAGACCAAGGAGGACCTGAAGGCCTCGGGGCTCACAGGTTCTGCCTGCCCATTGCTGGAGCGTGGCAGGGAGGAGAGGGTGGAAGTCTGGGCTGGGGATGGCAGCTCTGTCCTCTGGGCCCATAGGAGCCATTGTTGGACACGTGGGTGACGGCAACTTCCATTGCATCCTACTGGTAGACCCAGAGGACGCTGAGGAACGTCAGAGGGTTAAGGCCTTTTCACATCAGCTGGTCAGGTAAGAATAAAAGCCCTGGCCACGGAGGTGGGGGGAGAACTGAAGCGAGTGGGAGGAGCACGCCACTGAGAATGTCTTCTCCACTGCCTCCCAGGCGGGCACTGGCACTCCGTGGGACATGCACTGGGGAGCATGGCATTGGGCTGGGCAAACGGCAGCTGTTGCAGGAGGAGGTGGGCACCGTGGGCATGGAGACCATGTGGCAGATCAAGGCCACACTGGATCCCCGAGGCCTCATGAACCCAGGCAAGGTGCTGTGAGGGGCCCCAAGCACTTGGCCCCCAAGTTCCCAGACAACGGAACCTCCTGCTCTGGAATCTTTCTTCGTAACAGAGAACAGCTCTGCCTTTGCCTCTTATCTGGAACCCAAGGGCAGAGGCTAGGCGAGAAGCCAGTGTGCGAGACTCCTTCCTGGCCCTCTTGCTGTCCTCAGGAGCCTTTGGTCCAGTAAACGGTTCAGGGTCATTCTGCTGAAGCTGCTTCCTCTGTTCTTTTACACATCCTGTCCTGGCTGGAAGGAGCAGTATGGGTCACCCCAAAGACTAAGGCCACTCCTCTCCATCCAGGCCTCCTCATTGCTGGGGGCCTGGGACAAAGCCTGAGGGACCCAGCGCCCTTAGCCCTCTTCTGTCTGACTGGTGACGGATACTCCTTTCTTGGTATGGAAGGGGGCCTTGATATTTCTCCTTGGGGTTCTCAAAATAAACCTGGACCCCATGTGTGGCAGTCTGGAGATGAGCAGGCAGTACCTGTAAATGGCCTCCCATGCCGCCCCCACTCCGGTTCTCTGTCCTTTGGTCAGTGACACCCTTGTCCCTCGTTCTGGATCTGTCCTCTGACTTGTTGCAGCCTGAGGAAGAGATGGTGCTCAGGCTACAGACGAAGGTCACTTTCAGGGATCCAGGCCCCTGTCCCAACTGCTCCACCTGAGAACTCCAGGGCCTGAGGACTTGCCCATGGCCAACATCACCTATGACAGACTCCCCCACTGAGCCCCAACTGGGTCTTAGAACATTCTGAACATGTTCTTTAAGCAGCTGCTACCAATCATTGGAAATGGAAGTGATTTGCCTCTCCATCATGTGATGTAATATGCTCCCAGCTTTTTTGCCCTCAAAGTCAGGATCTGTACACCGGGTCCGCCCCTGCTTTGGGATTCCCTGCGAGAGCTATGGCTGGGCATCTGGCAGTTGTTCCCCATAAGCCCACAAGAGGGCGCTTGACACCATAAACTCAGACACCACAGACTGCTCAGAGGGGTGGTACCCAGCAAATTCACCTGTCAGGGCCTACAGCTCTCAGCCCCCAACTTCTCAGGGTCGGGGAGGGGCCTGGTATCCTGGGAGCCAATCTCTAACGTCACCACCCTGCTGCAAGTCCCAGGAGCCTATTGTATGGGTCCATCTCCCTCCCCCTGGCGCTGGCCCCTTAGGAAAGGTGTTTGGCCAGCCATTCGGGGCCATTTTCCATCTCCCCTCACTCCCTCTCCCCCTGCCTCCATCTCCTTGCTTGCCCCCTTCCCATCAGCTGTTCAGGCTCTGGGCAGAGGCAGCCCCCTGTACTCCTTGGTCCACTTCGTTCCTGGAATCCTTCCTCTGTGCAAACACTGGGCTAAGGCTGGAGTTCAATCCTCTGCGACTTTCCTGTCCCCCGGCTGCGCAGGCTGGGAGCAGCAGCTGTGCCAAGGAGTGGTGTGGGGCAAATCTCATTGGCCCCCTCCCCAAACAACCCCAGAGACTGTCCACAGTACACTGTCCACAGAGACACAGCTCACTAGACCTTGCCTCCCAGGGCCCACCCTGCAGGGCAGCGCCCTTCCCTGATGTGCTGCCCACTGCCCGGCAACTAGTAGGTGCTCAACAAATGGCCATTTCCTCACACTTTTTTATTAGGAAAAATTCCAAACATACAGAAGAGTTTAAGAACAAGCACACAGTTCACATACCAGCCACTGAACGATTCAACAATGAATATTTTTGTGTTATTTGCTGTATTTTAGGGGAACCATTTGGAATTGTTACACATTTGTTGACATCATTCATCTATATAATTCAACATCTGTCTCCTAAGAATAAGGACATTCTCCTAAAAAAACCTCAACATCATTAAATGCTACTGGATATTAGTGAGGTGCTCCTGTCCAGGAAGTCCCCCAGTGCTGGGCCCTCAGTAGAGGGAGTGGGTAGAACCTACCTCCCAACTCCTGCTGATCTCTCCTCCTCCAAGCTCAGAGCTGCCTGGATGGAGGATAAGATACCAGTTCCACTTGGGAAGCCCTGACACCCTTGTCCAACCCCTACCCCTGGCATCTAGGTCTCAACTTGGAGGACACAGTAGCCAGCAGAGGGCTGCAGTGTGCAGGGTGGGAGAAAAAGTCACTGGGGGCGGGGAGGGGGGTAAGCACCAGCCCCAGGAGCCTGGAATAGCACCCAGCGTGGGCTCTAGCCCTGCCTTGCCTGGCTCACGACCACTCCGCTCACCCAGAGCGCTGCTAAGGCCAGGCCTGAGCAACCGAGGTGGGCACACAGGCCTCCGCCTGCAGGCCCAGGGGGTCAGGCAAGGAGATCTCCTTCAGGGCCAGCTTTGCTGGAGGAATTAAATATAGAACAGGGAGACACAGTTGCCAGGCAGAAGAGGTGCTGTGAATAGAACAGTGCTCTTTGCTGTGATGAAGCTACAAGGGAGCCTGATATGCATGTGGCAGGAACAGACTCTCTCTCACAGTGACCTCTGAGCGGTGTGATTCTGTCCCCACTTCACATGCGAGGAATCTGAAGATTAGACGAATGAAGTCGTTTCCTCAAGACCATTCCGCCAAGTAGAGGAGACCTAGGCAGACAGTTTAGGGCCCACGTTCTGGCCGCCGTGGTGATCATCAGTCCCGGGGTCTCCACTCCAGACGGGTCTGACTCGAAGGCTCAGGCTTAGACCCACACACTCTTTCTGTAGTATTTCTCTGAGCATGCTGAGGGTGCGTGTCCCTTGACTCACATATGCCCACAGGCCTGCAGTGCCTTTGCAGAGTAGGTGCTTCAGGACTTGTTTGACCCAGACGACTGCAGAGCCAGGGCCTGGAGGGGTTAGAGCCCCCAGGGGCAACAGCACACGGGAGGCCTGAGAAGGGCAGAGCAGACAGGACGCGAAGTCGTCTCCCTCCAGAGCTTTCCTTTGCAGGCTCTGCAGGAGGCTCTGGAATGCTGCTCCGGGAGCCTGTCTGGCACCGAGACAGGCCAGGCATGCACTGATACCCCCCCCACCACCGGAGCTTCCCACCCAGCCCAAGGTGTGCCAATTCTTGTGAGCCCTGAGTGGCTGGTTCTAGTTCAAGGCTCTAAGCTGGCTTAACCCCAAACCAGGGCCTGTTTCTGGGCCTCAATGAAGCATGCCCATGAGTCAGCACGGAGACTCCCACTGAACAGGCAGGGCAGGATGTGGAGCGGGAGCTGAGGACTGGGGGGGCGAGGGGGGGGTGTAGACACACGACAGTGCCAGGCCAACACCTGGAAGGACCTGCATCCTTGCAGCCTCCAGTGGCTACAAGACCGCTTGCAGAAGAGTCCTGTTACAGCTACTCCACAGGTAACGGCAGACTGACTCCATGATGCTTGAGAAGGTTAGTAAACCTGTGGGACTCAGGTCTGACCTGCCACCTTCCCTCTATCCAGGCTTGACTGCTCTGAGAATCCTATCACACCTGCAGCCCCAAGGAGTAGCCTGAAGGAAGGCTAAGGAGGTAGGGGAGGGAGTGGGGGACAGGCCTCCAATCCCCATTTCCTGATTGTGTAACAACACTTCATTAAAATAAAGTCACACAGTGCATCTTTTTATTAGACATTATTTTAATACCATATCAAAACATCTTGACTAATGAAGAAAGCTTTTCCCCCAGCTTCGAACATTTTTTAAACATTTTATAAGGTGTTTTTTTTTCGTATTTTAATATATAAATACAGAAGAAACCTATCTTGCATGGGCTGATGGCACGTGTGACCATCAATGGCTAAAATGTTCTCAAACAGAGTGCCTGAAAACAGGGGTAGCTGTACATATTTCTTTAATAAGTCTTTTGTTTGTCTGTTTTCTGGGGGGAAAAAAAAATCCACAAGGGTCTAAGAAAAATGTTCAGGCATTTTTGCAGGACACTTGTGATTGTTAAATCCTCTGAACTGACCAGAACCAGAAGGGAGGGAGAGAGGGAGGAAGTAGAAATGGGAATGGAGGGGGAGGTCTTCCACGGGTTGTTTTTTTGGCAATGAAGTCAAGATCTCAGGGTCCCACAGGGAGAAAAGTGCAAAACCAAGGCAGAAAAATGGACAAAGAAAACCAAGGCAGAGAGGTTGGTGATGGAGAGGGCCGATGGGGCGCTGGGCACAAGGCGCTGTGCTAGGGCTCCCGCACCATCAGGACAGGTGTGGCGAGAACCTGGCTCTGTTCGTTTCTGTCACTGAGTGGGTTCTAGCTGGGCAGCAGACAGCAATCTGTAAACATCACGAGGGAAAACACCAGTCGACACTAGACTTTTTTTTTTTATAATTTTTTTTTTTTTTGTAAACACTTTATAGAGACAGACCCACAGCGCCTTTCAAAGGTGAAAAAGAAAATGCCCTTTCCCTCCTGGGATGAGGGGTGAGGGAAAGGGTGGCGGTTGATGCTTTCTTCTCTCAAACTCGCGGCTCATCCAATTTGGTGTCCTCAGGGAGAAAGGGAGAACCATTCTCCGGAAGTCAGTGCGGTAGGGGTGCCCTGTTCCCACTGGTGTCCCCAACTCAGCTCTGCCCCAGTGTCCGAAGCCTCCTCTCAGGAATAGGGCTGGCTGTCCCTGTATGGACCACAATACATAAGTTGTGCTCCATCGGGCTGATCCTGGGCCTGGGTGCCTGTGGTTCGACTCTGGGGGCCCCAAGAAAGCAAACATGCTGGGAATTTGGACTCGCACTCCAGCAGCAGGCTTCACTCCCTCTGTGTCACTCACACCCTCGCTGTTTCTTCTCCCCATGTCCTCAGCTTTTGAGGTGAAGGTAAAAAGAGCAAATGTCCCTAATTTGTCTGCCATCATCAGCTGGTCTGGGAGTTTACTTGGAATAAATAAAATGAACCTAACAGAAAATAAACAAACAAAAAAACGAGAGAGAGAGAGAGAGAGAGAGAGAGAGAGAGAGAGAGAAGAGGCCCCAAAACCTTTGGATGTGAGATGAGGTGGAGTCAGAGTTTTGGTTGCTCTGGGGGTTTTGTCTATTTGCCAGGAAAAAAGTGCCAGCACTCAGAAGTGACAGGTAGGATGGGGGACAGGAGAGGATGGTCAGCAGTAAGGCAGGGTGCCCTGGGGAGGAAATGGAGACGTCAGACTGGAGGGTTCTTTCTATAGGGGACCATGTGTGCACATTTGGAGGAAGTCAGCTGCACCGGCCTGCTGTGAAGTCAGGAACTTGTGCTGTGGGGTGAGGGGGCCTAAGTCTGGCCCACAGGCCTCAGATCCATCTGGCAGCAGGGCTGAGGGAAGTGGCCTGAGGCGGGAAGAACCAGCAGTGGAATGACCGCTGACACCGTCCCACAGACTGTCTTGTTTAGTAAGTGTGATGTCCGTACTGGGACGGGAAGCGAGATGATCCCCCTGTCCCCAAAGAAGAATCAGAGACTCCAAGGAGTTGAGGACGTGCCCTAATCCCTCAGTGAACACAAGGCAGGCTGGGGTGTTGAGCTTGCGCTGCTTCTCCTGACTGGCACGTTCCAAGGGGCTCTGCCTTCTTCAGGGAGATTCGCCCTAGACGAATCTGGTCTTTCCCCAATGAATCAACTGTACCGAGCAACAAGTTCTTCATAACCGTGTGAGTTTGCATTTCTTAGCCTCCCCAGAATCATTCCCCCGCTCCCAACAGAACCACTAACTGATAAGGGGCTCTCCTCCCAGGGGTGTGTTGAGGGCAGCACAGCCCCCACGCCCGGGCCCCAGAGTGATCTGATCCCAAGCCTTGAGCACGCAGCACCCCCAACCGCCAGCTCACCTTTGAGAGGAATCAGCAAGCGAGCCCAGCAGGGTCAGTCCGCGGGGTGTTCTGGACAAGATCTGTTCACTTCAAACCACGAGTCTATGCAGCTGAGGCGGGAGGCGGCAAGGGGAGACATGTTACCGCTGACCAGGCTGCTCCTTAGGGGGCTTGCTCCAAGGCTCAGGTTTCTGAGCAGGGGTTTCCTAAATCTCACCTGTGAGGACCCCAGGGGAAAACAAGCGTGTCCCCAGATACCCACTTTCTGAAGCAGCAAGAAGGCAGAACCCCAAGATTGATCGTGGCTCAGCTGGGGCAGCCAACCTGGCATGGTGGGTACAGGATTAGGGTGGATCAGGGCGCTGAGGAGGGAGTGTGGTCTTGAGAGGGATCAAGACCTTACCTGCATGGAGCCCAGGAGGATGGCAACAGCTACTAGTGAGAAGGGGAGCGTGTGTGGACTGTGCAGGGCAGCTAGTCAGCTATCTCTAAGGTTTAAAGGGCAGGAAGTGGGAGCAAAGCCCCGGAAGACTGGCCATTATTCTGATCTCTGGGGACCTGAGAGAAGCCTCCCCAGGGTCAAAGGAACAGCTTTGCGGTTCCTTCACTGGTGGGTGACTTCTTAGAAGACCCCTAAGCTACCTGGCTCAGTTTGCTGTGGTTGTCAGGTGGCCTTCTGGCTTAGTGACATTGCTAAGCACAGCCAGAAAGGAGGCTGACAGTGAAGCCCTGGTCTCTAGTGTTTACAGAAAGGACTGTCTGAATCAGAGAGGGAACAGAGATCGCCCTAAGCAGCTTTCTGATTTGTAAACCAACATCTGGGTATTTTCAAAGTCAGGAATCAGACAGATAATTCCATAATTCTCCCTAGAGCCAAAGATTCCCTTTTTCTAGTCTTGGTTGGTGCCTGGCCAGGACGCTGGAGAACTCTGTGCTGGGCCCAGACCGAGACCCCTCCCCCAGGCCAACCTGGAGTCTCGCCTGAGTCAGCCACATCCATGTGCCGGGTACCACCGCTGCCCCGTGGCCAGTGGCCCGGTGACTCAGGTTTTGGAAAAGCCCATGTGTCAGGCAGAAGCTTTGGGGCTCGAGGAGCCAAGAGCAGGTGGCGGCCACAGGCAGCACACACTGTCCTCCCTCTTGGGTAAGGAGGTGTCTTCTTTCCAGTTGGAAACAAGAACAAGGCTCATGCTGGAGACCGAGGACAAACCTCGGCCCTGCTAATTATAGCAGCTTTCAGTGCCACGGCCCCACAGGTAGTGGCTATTCCTGCCGCCTGGCCCTCTGGGGAGAAGGGGCGGGTTGCAGGGGCAGCGAGCACACGGCTCCATGCTGCCTGTCTCGCACAGATGAGGGGCCTCGCCCTGCGGAGCAGAGGGGCTAATGGAGGGAGAAAAGACTTGGGGAGACAGATGGACAATCAACCTTCCAAAGAAAGAAATTTGGGGCTCTTTAGGATCCTAAGCGCCTTCAGCCTATAGGGCTCCCCAGGTCTCCCCATCAGCCCCTACCCTCCAGGCTATCAAACCAGAGCAAAACCTCTGGCAATTCCACTCTCCTTCCACTCAGCGTATCTGTTGGCTCAGAGCCCAGGAAGAGAGTGGGGGAGGCTACCCCTCAACAAAAGGAGACAGAATGGCTAGTGGTGCCGGTCTGCTCCTCTCGCCCCTGACCCATGGGGAAGAAGCCCTCTGGGGACTGGATGAGCTGGCCCTGCTGTCCTCTCGTACCTTTTGTGATAAATGCACAGGCAGGGCAGCCTGGCTATCGTGTCTCCCTGAAGCAGCTCCTCCAGGCAGATCACACACTCACCCGCGTCTTTAGTCAGCACGTCATCTGCAAAGGGGGGACAGGGGAAAGTGGGAGAGGGTCAGCCACCAGCAGACAGGTGGCACAAAGCAGGCACGGGTCTAGAACTGGTTGGGACTGCTGGGGTCACCCAGTGTGTGTTAGGCTCTGTGGGTGACAAAGAAGCCCAAGATGGGCCTGGACCTGAATGAAGGCTCTCACTGAAGAGACAAGACATGCACATCACAAGTTAGTTATCCAAAGACAAAATGGGATTAATCGCCAAATAAGTGGCCCAGGGGATGGAAAGGGCTTGGAGAGGGACAGATATATAGTGGAAGCAGCACAAGGCAAAACGTTTCTCTGAATAGACTTTTCCCCCAAACATGCACACAGACCAGGTACACTGATTTTTGGTTTGGAAAAATATGGCGATGGAGAGAGTGGTACAAGGCAAGAATAAGTGGAAGAAACTAGTACTCTAGCAAATACTTGTACATGCACATCCATAGCAGCATTAGTCACAATAGCCAAAGGGTAGAAACAACCCAAAAGTCCACCAACTAATGAACAGACAGGCAAAATGTGGTATATCCATGCAATGGAATATTACTCAGCCATGAAAAAGGAACGAAGAACAGACACAAGCTACAATGTGGATAAACCTCAAAAATATTACACTAAGCGAAAGAAGCTAGTCACAGAAGGCCACCTATTGTATGATTCCATTATATGAAGTGTCCAGAACAGGCAAATACATAGAGACACAAAGTAGATCAGGGGCTGAGGGCAGGGGGGTTTGGGGAGTGACTGTTTGAGGGGTTTTCTTTTTTGTGGTAAGAACACTTAACCTAAGATCCACTGTCTTAACAAGTTAAGTGTACAATACAGTATTGTTTTAACTACAGGTGCAGTGTTGTACAGCACAGCTCTAGAACTGACTCATCTTACATAACTGAAACTTTTGACCTGCTGAGTAGCAATTCCCCATTTCCTCTCCCCTCGGCCTCTGACAACCACCACCATTTTATTCCCTGGTTCTAGGAGGCTGACTGTCTTATATATCACATGTTAAGTGGAGTCATGCAAGAGGTGTTTTTTGGGGGCGATGAAAGTGTTGGTAACTAGACAGGCACGGTGGTTGTACAGCAGTGTGAATGTTCTAAATGTTACTAAACTGTACAGCTCAACTTTTTAAAAAAGAGAAATGCCCCCGCCATCCCCACACAAAAGAGGAATGACTGGAAGGAAGCTGCCGCACGCCGTGGGCCCCAGCAAAGCCGTGGCCGGGAAAGCCGAGCAGAACAGGGAGCGCACCACAGCCGAGTCAGCAGTCCTTTATAACGTTTCTATGACATTCTGGGCACTGGCAACTCAGTGAACAAGCCATGAACTCAGGATTCATGAAGCTCAGAGTCCAACAGGAGAGAACAAACAAGAAAATGGAAATGAACAGCACAGGAGCTTCTAGCAGGTCTTACGAGGCATACAGGCCCGGGTATGAGGTATGAAAGATGCCTAATCGGGGTGGGGGCTATTCAGAAAGGGATTATTCCAGGCAAACAGAACAAACAGTATTTGTGTACCTGGGAACCGCAGGGAGTGGGGGTGGAGCGGGAGGCAGGAGGGAAGATGATACCAGACTCGTGTCCTGCTGTAGTGCCTGGGCTTTATCTGGCTCACTGAGAGGCCCTGGAGACGCACTCTGATCACATCTGGTCTCCGGAAACGACTGGAGGAGGGATCAGAAGACCCCACAGATGGGGGCGCCCATTCTAGAGGCCAACGCAACAATGCAGGGGTATGAACTCATACACTAGCAATGGGGACAGGAAGGGAGGAACGGTGCGCTAACAAGGGGAGCTGGGCAAATGGCGGGCGCTTGTCCCTAAGAAGGGAACCCAGGAGGAGGAGGACAGGCATGGGAATGAAATGATGGATTCAGAACTGGGTGGGAGGTGCTGACACATCAATGGAAACCTCCACGAGTCGAACATGTTCAAGTCTAGGCCTGGGGTTTAGAAGAGAGATGTAGGCAACAGGTCGTAGATGTGGAATAAAGAGATTATCTGGGGAGAAAGTTTAGACTGAAATCCAAAGAAGGCAAAATACAAACCCAAGTCAACCTTAATACCTGAAAGGCAGGTGAAAGAGGTGAAGGAAGCAAGAGGTTACCTATAAGTTCTCAAAACCACAGGAGAAACACCAAGAGAGCAGGATTATGGGTGTGAAGAAAGGACAGCTTGAAATAGGCTCAATTCTCCACTACTAAGAAATTTTAATTGTTTGTGAACGTTGCCCATGACACATACTCAGGGGTGCGTGTATACGTTTTCATTTGACTCACGATCTTAGGAACAAGGCAGGGCACAGGGTATTGTCCCCACTTTACATATGAGGACAGAAGTCAGACGTCTTGCCTAAGTCAGAGGGCCCTAAGTCAGAGGGCTCGTGAACAGCAGTGCAGGCCTGGGACCCCCTGCTTGGTGCCCCTCCTCCACTGCTGTTTCTCTGTGCCCTCTGATTACTGGGGGCAAAAGGGAAAGAAACATCTGGGACTCATAAAATGAGTATTCTCCATGGCCTAGAAGGTGACTCAAAGCCCACCACCAGGAACCCTGAGGAAAAAGCCTAAGATAGGGCCGATTCAATACTTCAGTCCCCATGCACATGAGCCATGAGGGAAGTCACTCTTAGCTTCTTGGCCACCAAGACAACCTGTGGCCATTTTCTCTGTTAAGATCTGGCCAGGCCAAAGGCCCACCGAAAAAGGGCGACATGAAGAGAAAAAGTAGACAGCACACAGTCTACCACTGGAGTGTAACCTCAGACGCCAAACGTGGCAAGTGCAGATCAACAAAGGCATCGTCTTGTTTTTTTTAAGGCACTAAACACCATACTTATTTAAATATTTGTGTGTGTACATATATGTTTATGTAAACACAGACAAAAGTCTGGAAGAATATACATAGTTTAATAGTGTGGAAGAAATGTGGATGAGAAGAAAAATATCTATATATTTTGAATTGTTTGTTTGCACATGCATTACTTTTATCATTCAGAAACCCCAATAAAGAAACATATGGGTGTTTTCATTTACTCTGAAATGCATCAAAGGATAAGGACTGGCGGGCGGAGCTGGAGCTATGTGACAGAGCAAGTATAGTACAATGCAGACTCTGGGTGGTTGGTATTTGGGTGTTTGTGGCAAAACTCCCAACTCTGCTGCATGTTTGAGGTTTTTCATAACAAAATATCAGAGGAAAAACCTCCAATAAAGATGGGAGGAAAGTCTAGCTTTGAGAAGGCAGAGTCACGTTGTAGACATCCCCGGGCGTTGATTTCCCACTCTCTCTGTCTCAGACATCTCATCGATAAAGCGAGTTTGCGTCCAGCCCTTCGTCTCCTTTCTCGTACTCCTCTCTGCACTTATGAGTTCCCTGGGAGCACAACATTATTGATTTTGAATTAGTGTCCCCTTGCATTTCTCCCTACCAACTGGTGACTCAGCTGCGACCCTAAGGGGCAAGTTAGAATTCATTGCCTGGGTCCCAAACAGCTTTCAGTGCTGGCTGTGTTTTCCTGTCCTCTGTGAGCTCCAGGAGGGTCCGTGCAGCCCCTGGGACACAGGGCCAGGAACGGAGGTAAGACTTGGGGCTTGCTTTTTCGACAGGATTAAACGTGACTCTCCTCTCTCTTCACACTGCATATCACTAGGGGAAGGGGGAGGGATGGGAGGCACAAGGGTGGTGCATTTTCTTATCTTGTCATGCACTCACAGACTCAGGCTTGAACACATGAAGGTTAGACACAGTCTTTTCTTACTAACAATTGACTGCCACCACACGACACTTTACAAAGCATTTTCGTGCATGGTACAGTGTTGTGCCTTTCCAGCCTGCCTGGGTCTGCACGCAGCACTGAAGGGAAGAACTAAACTGTGCGGCTGCCCCGCCAGGCTGGCACGCAGCAGGGAGCACATTTCACTGGGACCAGGAGCCCTGGCTGCAAAAGTCCACCTGAAGGTTCCTGAGATGGGGCTTGGGACCTGACTGCGTGGGGAAGCCAGCAGTGCCCACACCCAATGCAGTGCCCAGGGAGCAGCATTCTTCCCACGGTGGAAGGCAGGAGGAGCGCAGATCTAGGAACATGCCTGAGTGGGCTGAGTAAAGCTTCCTGTCCCAATCCCTGGGGCCCTGACAATCAGCAGCCCCCAGAAGTCCCTGGGAGCCTAGCAGGGGAGTGGAAATGGCTGAAGCTGAAGCTTGGCTATCAACCAGTTCCTACAAGACCTCCACACTCTTCAGATGGGAGCCTGCTGCCAGCTGTTGGAGGACCTCATGGTACAAAGCCAAGGACGCTGGGCCTGGCACAAGATAAGGCCACTCTGCAGATGGACTCAAATGCCCCTTGGCAGCCCCAGGTTCCCAGCAGAGGGGGCTCAACCAATGCTGCTTGATGAGAACACAGGAATGAAGCTGTTTCTGCCTCCCAAGCCCCTTCCAAGCATCCTGATATGCTATGCAAGGTCAATGTCACTGTGTCACTGCGCAAGGGAGAGTTTGGAAGTGTGTTTGAACTGGCTGGGGGTGGTACAAAATGATGCCAATGCCTGTCCCTCCAACCAGACTAGGGAACCAAACCAGAGTGGCAGGCAAAGTTCTCTGGCACCCAAACAGAAGGTATGATGCCCGTGACGGGGCTATGAGTGGGAGGTGGTGGCATCCTTTTGCTTCCTCCCTAAGACACAGGGGGTAGCACTGTTTGTTAAAGAAAAGGGATCTCAAAGGAGAAGAAGGAACCCTTACTTCTTTGGAGACAGTTATAGGCCAGGGACTGCACAAATGCATCTCAATGAGCACTAGAGAGCCTGTGGGGGTCTCTGGATCAGTTCATGCAGCTGGTAAGTGGCCATGACTCCCAAGCCCTGTTCCTTCCCCTTGGCCAGCTTGCTCTCTTTCCTTAAAAGACCAGATGATAGGGTTTCTCCCCTTGGGGCTGGGAAACATCACCCATCTCATAGACAGCCTCAGATCTTTCTTTTTTTG